TCTCCGACGTTATGTCAGAAAAACAGACCCCTCATGCGTCGTCCCATTCCCTGCCGGTCATATAGGATGTTGAATTTATTTACAAATTGGTTTATATCATTGCAGCCTTTGGTGATGGTTCCCAAGTAGGTCATAAGGCCCACATCATTGCATTGCTAAAAACAATCATCAGAATTTAAGACTCAGGTCCTTAACAAAAGAATGTGCACTCTTATTTTCAAAGCTTCACTAAAATTGTTGTATTTTTATTTATTTATGGTATATTTGATGGTGCTGTCAGTAGCCGAGACTTTCTAGCACCATCTTCGTACCTCCTCCAGGTACCAACGTACATGTTCAAAACCTTTGGCTTTGCCATCTTAAATCTAAAAGCACAAACATTAAAATATAATGTTACTGAAGATTTCCGTCTTCTGGGTCGTTGCGCCGTGTAGTCTGGTCGATGTTAACCAACGTTTCAGAGGTCATACTGCCTCCATTGTCTTCCTGATGGAGGCAGTAAGGACCTCTGAAACGTTGGTGGCGATCTACCAGATTACGTGGCGATACAACCCAGACTCACCGCTGTAAAAACCTCAAATCCTACAATGTTACTGTCAAACTTTATCTTTCACCTTAAGCGAAGGGGGAAGTCGACTGAGGGCGTGTAACTTTCGCTTTCAGGAATAAGCCGTGTTGAATTTTCAAGGTGTTCCAGCGTTCTCGCAAACAACGCAGTTGGTATCTTTAGGGTGAATATCTGTATGACGGTAAGGAAGCCCTTAGAAAGATCTGGCAGTGAGATGTATGTCTTTTGTTTGAGTCCGCAGAGGAGTGACCACATGAGTCAGACGAAGAGGCGATGGAAAGAAAGAAGTTAAAGGCGAGTGCCGTGTCTGGGGAAGCAGAGAAGCCGAGTGCTACTGAATGGGGAGAAACCACATCGTATACCATGAAGATAACAACTGCAGCGTTTGCAGAAGAATTTGAACACCTTCAATGACAGATAATAGCCAAAAGGCAAAGCTGTGAAAACCTAATGTCAAAAATAGATTGAGGGTGTTTGAGAAAAGTGTGCTGAAAAGAATATCAGGACCGAAGAAAGAGTAAGAAACGGGAGGCTGGGAAAAAAACCCTGCAGAATGAGGAGTTTCAATGATTTGTACTCTTTACCAGAACTTCATTACGATTTTCAAGTCATGTAAGATGCAATGTGGAGGGCAGGTACCACATGAGATGAGAAACACATACAGAATATTATTCAGCGAACACGAAGGGAAAAAAAACTATTTGGGGAATCTAGACACTAATTTGAGGATAATAATAATTATGGGCTTCTGTGAACAAGGTGATGAACTGTTTGAATTTCACAGAAAACAGGGAATTTGGGAATCTTCTCATATTTCAAAAGTAAAATGAGGTATATGAAACAATTTTCAAACAAATAAAGATCAAGAGAAAAATAATAAAGACACTCACATTGTAGAAGTCGGCCCTGAAGTGAGGGCTCTGGAGCACGGGGAGCCGGTGACTTAAACTGTACGCTTCTCTGAGGATATCGTGGTTTCTCGGCAACTCGCCCGCCTGCACGGCCCTCACATATTGCAGCACCAGCCTAACACGACTGTGAAGCATCTTGATGGCCGAGTGCTGGGCCGTAAGGTGTTCCGCCACTGCAAACACGTTCCGTTCACATGTGACCACATGTTTGATATGGACAGAGAATATTTTGAAATTAAAAGAGAATCAAGAGCTATAACTTTATTGAAAGTGTTCAAAATCACAAAAAGTGGAAACTGTCCATAAAACCCGAAGATAACGTCTATTAAAATTAAAATGAAGGAAGAGCAGTGAATGAAAAATCAACAAAACTTTGTGTAATTATACCGATTTTAAAGGATTCTGATGAGGGTGGGTTACACTCAGGATTACTATATCCTCGGGCTTCGTCCGTCGTCGGAATGCCAGACAATGGACAAAGTCCAACAATTTAGTAATTCCTTAATGTGATTATTCTCTAAAGTATGTAATACCTCACTAAACGTTTATATTGCACGAGAGTTGGTGCATTATCTAAACTGAGTCGCTCATAGCTGCACAATGTCCACTGGCCGAAGTCTTATTTGTGGTTTTTGTTACTGTAGACCCAACGACATGAGTGTGGTTTCATAAAATATGACTGTTTTTTATGCACAGTGATTTATGATTTGTATGATTTTAATATACAGATTAATGAAATTAATTAATATGTTTTTGCCACTGATAACGACCTAATGAGGTCGAAACGCGTTTGGCATAAAGTGTTTTTTAATGTGTTACATCCGTATCTTGCTATTACCTTCCTAATTACATAAAAATGACAAATGAATAACTTATTTACAAAGAAATCTGTACTTTGAGATGCAAACTCTGGGCTAGATTGCATGCTTATCAGAGAAAGTCTGAAAAGTGTTGCATCATGCATTTTTGCAGCATAAATTGAGCTGCGTGTATTTTATTTTCCTGTGTGGTTAAATAAATATATATATATAAAAAAATAAGAATATGGTACATTATGAAAGAACCTTTGTCAGATGAAGAACAAAATGGTTTCTTGAACCTCCATTCGAAATAGGATTTACTCTACAGTTGTAGCATTTGTCTCAACGGACAAAATAAATAAATAAGGAGCTTCATTAAAAATAACGATTCACCTAAGTACTCATAATAATAACAATGATGTCCAATACAACATTACATTTGATCACAGTGAGCCCAATTGTTATATTTAATATTACAATAAAATAATTCACCCAGAGAACTCTCCCCGGCCTCATTACTGGACATGCGGGCCACGTGGTCAACACCAATTCTTTCAGCTTCTTCAGTTGCAAGAGTGTAGTGTAGTTCCACAAATAACATGGTGGCCTCACCCCCCACTAGGTCAATCACAGACTCGTACATTGTCACAGGTAGCTGAAAACAAGAGAGTGACACATTCCCTTGAAACGTTTGCCTTAACAAAATGTGTATAACTGGACCTGTGACACTTTTTATGAAGGCAAATGGATTTTGTTGGCCCAGGACAGGGTCTGGTGGAGGGCTTTGGTTAATTCGGTGATGAACCTTCGGGTTCCGTAAGCCATCTAGTTGGTTGGGTCCACTATTTGGGAAGCCTGAGGGGGAGAGACCGCTGGGGAGACCTAGACGTAGATGGGAGGATAATCTCAGGCGGGATCTATGGGAGATAGGAGTTGAAGGAGACAGGGTCCGGTGGAGGGCTTTGGTTAATTCGGTGATGAACCTTCGGGTTCGGTAAGCCATCTAGTTAGTTAGCGACACTTTTTAATAAGCTGATGCTTCCTAAGATATGACATTTTAATCTCTTAAACAGCAGTTAAGCTAATTATAAAAACAATTCGATCAAATAAATTAATTATTATAAGTAGAAATGCAGGCCTGAAGTAACACAATGAACAGGAAAAGAATCTACATCATAAGTTAAAACACAAAATTATTGAACTTGTATTATGAAAAGTCATCAACCTTCACAGTGTATATTTTATAGTACAATTATTAAATAAAGACACAAAGATTTTATTCATTTTTTTTGGTACCATCGGGTCGGAGCCGACCCCTGGTGACATTATGAACAAGTTCCCTCTGATAGGGACCTGTTCATATGTTTCCTCGGCAAATGATCCAGAAGTGGTTTGCCGTTGCCTTCTTCTGTGTGTAACTGATGATGAGAATGGAGTAATTGTTGGGATGCCACAGAGAAACCGGGGAAACCCCGAAGGAAAACTCCATAATACCTGGACCATGGCCTTGCCCTACATAAGTTATAAATCCGGGCACCACCGGGAATCGAACTCAGGACCCCAGGATTACAAGCCCAGCGTTCTGACCGCTAGACCACCATGGCGGATAAAGCTTTTAATAATACACCAATTATATCGGGATTGAACACACGTCATCTGTATTATGAAAAATTATGTTAAACAGAAATAGGGAGGATGTCCCATCATTCAGTGTAGAATGTACTGAAATTTCATACACGTTCTGAGTGTAGTATGGAAAAGTTATTGACGTAAGGCAGTCGTTCTCAAACAATGATCTATGGACCAATGTTGGTCAGCAGCTTTTTTTATGGCAGTCTGCAGATTCTGCTTCAATTATTACACATATCGTTTTCCAGACTACAAGATGCACCGAGTATAAGCTATACCCAGATTTCTGAGGAAAAGTATTACAAAAAATACTTTTTTAACTATATGAGAGGAAAATAGTGCTTATTCTGGAAAATATAATATTCTACAGCTATTGGCTTTTATACTTTTCATTTCCTTTCAGCTACTAAACATTAACATTAATACTTCTTTAACTCTCTCCACTTCTGCGGCATTTAACTAAGAGGAAGAGGAAGAGGGAGTTCTGGGGTCAGTCAACAACTTTAAACTTTTTGATATGCACTTGTGTACATTTTTAATGTTTCTTTTATTTTAATACCTCATAAAGTGTAAATAAACATGATTTTATGTAAATGTAGAGGTATATTTGTCGCTGTGATTAATTAAATTCCATTCCAGAAACATGTCTCATTTTGATCTGCTATTAATAATGACATTTGCAGACTGTTATTTGTGATAAACAGATTGGAACGTATGTGGGCTGAACTTTATGATTACTATGTAAGTACAATCAGGACAGCATTTAGAAGCTGGCTCTCTTCTGTGTAGTCTCTCAGATGTTTACCAATATGTCAAGAGGTCATTCCTGCCTCCATCATCACTAATTGCTCTGATGATAGCAGCAAAGACCTCTGAAACGTTGGTAAACATCTAGCAGACTATTCAGAAAAGAACCAGCTTCTAAGTGCTATCCTGATTGAACACTACAACCCTGAAGACAGCCATGAGAATCTCAAAGCCCACAGGACAGCTCTTCTTAACAAGACTGGAACTTGTAACATTCTGACGTTTCAGCCACTATCACGTCTTTAATTCAATTCACTCTTCTCATCCTAGTAGGCCTAACCATAGCAAATAATATATTTGGGATATAACTTACATCACTATGCCTGGCCTGTGGGTTAAGTTTCAGAAGAACAGGGCTCTCATTTATCTCACAAATCTGTTTATGGATCTTGATATCTCCGTCATCCGGGTGGTCCCCTGTTGTGTACCAGCCCAAGAAATCCATGTCACTGAACACCTGTTTGACTGAATAATAACCATATTGTCTTTATTCATAACATACTTTATATGCAGAGCAGTTGATTTAGCTCATGTAACACAAATATTTACCTGATCATTAATTTACTTACACTGCTCCTCTTTTGTGTTGTAATAATCTCTGTCTATGATTGTATCACCTCCAATGCAACTGAATAACAGCTCAAATGAATTCATTAATTCAAGATTGCGCCCTTTCTGCTTCCCAATTAAAGCACCAATCACTGAAAAATAAGGACAATAAAATATGTTAACAATTTAAAGCCCAGCACTAACAACATGTATCACCTACTCCAACAATCAATAACCTTGCATTTTATACAGAGAATATATTTATCTGTTACACATTATTTTCAAAGTAAAATGTGATATTTTCCTTATATAGCATCAACTAGCTGATCTTTCTAATAGAGAAGTGTTGTGTTTCCTTGACCCTGGGACTGAAATGTGTATGTTATTCATATCTGTTTTGGATTCAAAGGGTTAAATTAAATAGAGTGCATGCTATATAAATAAAGATTAATCTGGAAGGTGCAGAATCTGGTTCATCAAAATAATTTCTGCACAACGTGTAACTCGATGTTCAGACAATCATTAAAAAGGTTCTATAACAATTTCCAAACTGCAAACAGAGAATTAATACCATACTGACAAATAAAACACACATTTTTAAATGTTCTATTTATTCTTTATGAAAGTTCCCCAAAATCATAACATATTGTGACTGCGCTGAAATTAGGGTGGGTAAGCAGGCAATGACCCCATGGAGCAGCCTTGGTAATAGGTGTACAGCTGATAATGAGCATCGTCTGAAGGTTAAGGTTCAAAACATGGTTTGGTTCACCCATCATGTCAAAGTTAGAGAATTGATCCTTCCCGGCTTGGTTTTCTTAGGTTAGGTTATGTTTTATTAGGCTCTCCAGTTTGTACTTTTACTCTACGAATAAACCTGTTTTTCAACCTAGATTATATTCTGAAATATAACCAGTACAGATTTATTAAAATTTGTTTTTCCCTGTTATAAATTATCCTGCACAGTTTATCACGGTTACATAATTTTGCTTATGGCAAAAAAACAAATAATCATTCTGTATAGCAAAACCAGAAACAGAAAGTTTTATATTTCACAGACCCTTCAAGGGCATTAGAGAGTTAGAAGGAGACTTTATTTACATTTCACAAATTGTTCTTTGGGCTAAACCAACCATGTCATAATGCAAGTAAAAGGGGAAAAAAATAAAGCCATCCCACTACACGCCATGTAGGTAGTTTGGGGGGGAGTGGAGGTATAGCTTTACCCCCAGGAACCAAGTACAGAACTTATTTCACATATATAGATACACATAAACTTAAGAATTTTCAATAGAGGTAAAATCATCTACAGAGTAGGAGTGAGTTAAGTAGTAATTTAATGCAGGCTTGAATACTTTTATATCATGATTCAAACTTTTAATTTCAGGTGGAAGATAACTGAATAACTTGATACCTGTATAATATACTCTCTTTTTTCAAATTAATTTATTGTTGTGAGTGGTATGACTGTCCTCATGCAGAGCTTAGTTTGGAAATACTATATTCAATCTGTTTCTACCAATTTAAGTTACTGTCAATTTGTAAGCCAAGGAATTGGTTTGCTTCTACTTACTCAATTAATTTATTGTCAAAACCTATATTTAAACTAGGAAATGTCTTGTTCATAGTTGTAAAATTTATGTTGTTCGTTTTATTAAAATTAATTGCCAGTTTGTTAGCTTTAATCCATTTGTTTAGGTTGGCAAAATACATTATTCACGATATTCTAATGACAATCCAGTTCTGGGTGAGTAATAATGATACTTATACCAGAAAAAAGAACAGGTTTGGATTGACAGTTTATATTTGACTTCAGCAAAGGCTATAGAACATGTCACATAAACTTAATACCGAAAGAGATAATCATAATATTTTAATTAAAAAACTATCCAAAGTGGTAGTTACCTTGTTGTGGGGATCCCTCTTGTGCCCTCAGCCGTGTCCAATGTTCTGAAATGTTCATTATAACCAAAGGATGCAATGATATAGATACACTACCAACAGTGCCTGAAGAGGCCATAACACTTCTATTGGCAATAACAACAGTATCGTCAACTTCCATTTCGTTCTGGCGTGGACTATTCATCCGTTTCGATCAACTTTCTTATTCTATAACACACAAATATCAATAATCAACACCAACGAATTTCATTTATGCTGCCATATGCAGGACTGCAACAACTAACGCAACCTGGTGATAGAATAGTATAAGCATAGATACAGAATCACATGAAGTTGAGGAAAATTGGAGATGTGATGGTTATGCGAGGTTAAACAAGACGTGGTGAATGATTTGATGTTGCTGTATTTTGAACAGCAGGTGATTTACAAAACAATACATCCGTAATTGCTATCTTTTATTAGTTTGTACTGATAGTAATAGTACATTTTATGATAACTATGGCAGGAACTAAAGCCGTTGTTGCTTGCTCGCCTCTTTACAGCAAGATATTACTGTCTACGTTTCCACAACATTTCTCATTTTGTTTTGCATATGGATCTGGAGTGTTCAGGCAGTCTGGCTCTGATATTACAAAGAATATGGTAGATATGATTTTCACAGTTAAAGATCCGTCTACATGGCACAAAGAGAACATTAGCCGTAATCCACATCATTATTCGTCATTGCGTCGGTTAGGTCATGCAGCTGTCTCCCGCTTCCAGGAGAAGTGGGGTGCAGAAGTGTATTTCAACGCTTATGTTCCTATAGAAGACGCAGGGGTAACTCTAAAATATGGCGTTATATCCCAATCAGCTCTTGTGACCGATCTACTTGATTGGAATTACCTGTACGTAGCAGGTCGGCTTCACAAACCAGTTCAAATTATCCATAAACCTAGTGATTCTGAACTTCGCTCTGCACTCCAGTTGAACCTCCATAGTGCTGTTCATACTGCATTATTGATGCTACCAGAAAACTTCAGTGAACATGAATTCTATATCACCATCAGCAACCTGTCTTATGCTGGTGATTTCCGCATGATATTTGGTGAGGACAAGAATAAAGTGCATAAGATTGTTGATCCACAGATTGAAGCCTTCAGAGCAATGTATTATCCAGTACTTAATTCTTTGTCTAACTTTGTAGAAGTGTCAAAGGAATCTGGGTTGTGCTTGCAAGATGTCAGCCCCGTTGCATGTATCCATCACTTGAACCAGCTTCCGAAAGCTCCTCAGAGAGCTATTGTTCGCCTCTGGAACAGAGATAGTGGAAAGCTTCATCAGGACACAGAAGATGCCCTCAGAGCCATTGCTTATAATCCAGATTGTGGCTTGATCCTGTTGGATTGCATAAAGGACATTGTCAGGTCTTCAAGCATTAATCAGAGCCTCAAGGGAATTATCACCGCTGGCATACTTAAATCTTTGCGCTATAGCGGAAGAAAGATACTGAGAATGATGAAATCTTAGTAACATTTAGTTTTTGAGTGCGCCTAGTATTTGTAAGAAAAATTAGTTTAAATAAAATTGCCATTTAATTTTTGCAATATGTGTTTGTATCATTCCAGTGACAAAGATGTCTAACCTTATTGGGCCTGCCCTCCCTCCTCATCTACAGATGAAGGTGGAATCTAGTGAAAACCAGGAAACCTCCAAATCAAATGAGAGTCAAATGGAACAAGATAGAAAGGGGGATGTTTTGATTGATTGTCCTTCCTTACCACCAGAGTTGATCCAGAGAATGAAAAATCCTTCAGTTTTCTTGCCAGAAATCACAGAGAAGAGAAATTCACAAGCTCCTGAAATTGGTCCCTCATTGCCACCTCACTTATGTATAGCTCATAATGATATAAAGAGCCCTCCAGAAAATGAAGGTTCCTCAATAGGACCTGCATTACCTCCTCAACTAAAGATGGGACAAAAAACTGAAAATCATAATGAGTCACAGAGTTCTGTTGTGCCTCTTTCAAAAGAAACTGATGAAGATGATGTCATCTCATTGCCAAATCTTGGTGCAGATGTGTCTCATGAGGAAGCTTATGGAGATGGCCCACAAGATGAGATGTACGGCCCTGCTTTGCCTCCAGGTTTGAAAGTAAGACCCAGTAGTTTCATTCAGGACGTTAAAACTTCAAGAGGGGTGTTGGGACCATGTTTGCCCCCTGCAGTACATCTAAGTTATCCTGTAGATGATGGGAGTTCGGACAGCGACGCTGATGTTGTGGGACCAATTTTTGCTCCTGAAGGGATCGGAAATGCAACGTATCTTCAGGATCAGATCGATGATCGGGCATTGAGAATGAAGAGGAAACTGGCAGGCAAGGTAATTACTAGACGATGGATAATATCCAAGTAAATTTTTTATTCAATTGACTCTTCACCATCGTCAAGAAGTTTTAGATTTGATATAATTAGTAATTCTACTTGCACATTGTGTTTAATTGTGGTAATGAGTGCCAGACAGCATCCGTGCCACATAACGACTAGTAATGTTATCTAGTCTAAATGTTTATTACTTCTGTCATTACGCAACACACAAGTACTTTTTATTCATTTTATATGTAACACTGCATGTTTCAGGCTCATTAGCCCATCTTCAGGTGTTTATTTTTCATTCCACATGCTATTACATTATTGGAATTGTTGGTTATCTTTGAATCAGGTCTAATGTTTGTTTTTCGTGAATGAATATTAAGAAGTTAATATATAGGTGGCGATTGACTTGTAACATTTGCCTGTAATGTAACGTGTTACAAATCGAGCATTACACAAGTGAAGACAGCGAACGGAGCCGCTCGATGCGAGCC